ATTCAACTCAATCGAATCCTACTTGGTTAATTCACTTTTAATTAGATTTAACTTCACTTGCTTGTTCCCTGAGGAGACAACCCTACTCACTACTATACTACCAAATCTGTTAGGAGTGTGTTAATTTATTTTTGTTGGTTTGACATCCACCACTCACTGTGTAAAAATGTTGTATTTGCAGTTGTTCTTTCCATTCCACAATTAATTTCACTTCTATCTGGTATGTTTCAACATGGACAACCAAACCATGTATATCCTAGACAACAAACCAAATGTGACCAAAGGTCACATACCATTTGAAAACAAGTATGGTGAAGTTGTCACGTTCATTAAAGCTGCTTTCTCGAGGTACCTCGCAATGCGAGGCATGAAATTGCCGCATGATATTACAACATTCAAGCACAGTGTTCATGTACTTCCGTGGGCTGATCAGACCAACGACAAGGACTCTGCAATATATACCATGCGTCACATGGAAACCTTCAAAAGCACAAAAAAGATTACAACTGTGGCATTCCGGCATATGACACAACATTGGTAAATCTATATCATTTTAATCCTTTCCTATTGTTTTCACCATTTACCTAATCTCACATGATGTTTGTTTTCTTTTCTTTTCTACGCTTTTAAACAGAGGACAAAAGTAAACCTCCAAAAAAGTCTTAACACATTCCGGCTGAGATATCTAGTTGAGATCCTACAATCAAGTACCAACAGCTTGTACAAGGCAGAGCTTCAGAAGATGGTCGATAGATTTTATCTAGAAAAATTATAGGGCAAAAAGTCTCGTGTAAATTCAGCTAGTGTGCACTGTTAGTAAACTTCAGTTTTTTACTTATCATCCCAAAAGTTTGTAGCTACAATGTAAATCATGCTGAGATCTCTGAAATGTCTTTTGAAATATAAAATTCATTAACCTTTTCTGTTGTTCATTGCACCAATCGAAATGTGCATTCTGTTATACTGAAATGTTCATCTTAGAGTCATGGTCCTTATTTTTCAAATGTCCTGATCATCTAGCTAAACAACAATGTTTACCTTGTTAAACACAATGATCATCTTCAACAATCATCTGTAACCATAAGTTAATCGTTTATTTCCATTATAAGAAAATTTAAAAGGTTAATCGTTTCCGGGCCCAAACTCAAAAGGGTTCAGGGTACAGGATATCACATTAATATTGTACTTGTGCAGAACTACAATGCTCACTTAAAAACATGAAATCTCATTTCATAACTACAATGCTCATTTAAAAAATTTAAAAAGGTAATCGTTTCCCGGCACAAACTAGACCCTAACCTATAATCGAGATACTTAAACCCCCTAAACCCTAAACCGACACGGAGATGAATTTTTTTAATTTTTTTTTTTTAAATTTGGTTGAAATTTTTTAAAAGGTTAGTCGTTTCCCGGCACAAACTAGACCCTAACCTATAATCGAGATGCTTAAATCCCTTTAAACCCTAAACCTTAAACCGACACGGAGATGAATTTTTAATTTTTTTTTTTTTGAAATTTAGTTGAAATTTTTTTAAACCGATTAGACTAGACCCTAGCCTAATTGATTTAAAAAAATTTAAAAGGTTAATCGTTTCCCGGCACAAACTAGACCCTAACCTATAATTGAGATGCTTAAACCCCCCTAAACCCTAAACTCTAAACCATAAACCCTGAACCCTAAACCCTAAACCCTAAAACGACACGAAGATGAATTTTTAAAATTTTTTTTTTGAAATTTGGTTGAAATTTTTTTGTTTAATTTGGTTTATTTTGGTTTAATTTTGTAAGTTAATTAATTTGTACCTACTAGCATCTTAATAACAATTAAAAAAATACAATAAAATCTTTTCACAATTTGGTATCAAAATATAAATTCAATAAATATTTTTTCTGTTGTGCACTGAACAACATACAATACACATCTTATAAAAAAATAATGTTCATCCTAAATTTAAACGTTTTTCATTGGAAAAAAAATCTAATATCTCTTCTTTCTAACTGCAATGTTCATTTCCATGAAGGGAATGCTCATCCTGCGAAACTGTAAATTTCATCCTATGCTTAAAATTCACTGCAAAATGACAAAGATCATCCTGCGAAGCTGTAAAGTTTATCTTATGGCTGAAGTTCACTGCAAACGGCAAGTTCGACTGTGAAAACTAGATGTGCTTACTGTACTACCTGATGTTCATCTTGTAAAACTATGATGTACATCTTGGACTACAATTTCTGTTAGTCACAGCAAAAAGGAAAAAACAACGTGTAATAACAAAATAATTATTGTCTACAAACCAACGACAAATGTTCATAAAACAAATTGTTCAATAAAAAAAATAAAAAAATAACATCAATAATAAAATCTTGTTTACAAACCAAAAATTAAAAAAATGTTCATGAATCTGTCTTATAACATAAAAAAAAAACATTCACGGGTTATGGGGAGCTGGGTTCTGGGGAGGCAAGGGTGCAGCAGCATCTTACGCGGGACCAGCAACGTCTTGGGCAACATGCATACGAACCACATCCCGTACGAGTAATAATCCTGTTGTGAAGCCCTTTCCCTTTACTCTTCGTACCCCCTTGTTTATTGCAAGCAAACTGTTTCACATTCAAGTCGCCACCTGTCCTGTAGTTGTTCTTAAAGCGCTTAATATCGAAACCAAGTCTTCTAGCATACGACTCATAACACATATACGCCTTGTCAACTGATTTGAACTCACGGCCAAGAAGATCTACATCTACAAAGACAAAAAAGGAAATATCATCCACAAGTAATCCATGAAAAATGAAAGTTTGATATAGTTCATGTAAAAATATGGAATGCTCATTTGGTGAAACTACAATGCTCATTGCAGTAACTATAATGCTCATTGCAGTAACTATAATGCTCATCTCACAGAACTACAATGCTCATTGCAGTAAACATAATTCATCAAAAGTAGTTATACATGAACTACAGTTCATCTAAAACTCAAAATATCTATCTCACAAAACTACAAAGCTCATGGAAGACAAAAAAAATAAAGAACATTCTGAATATTGAAATTCATCCATTTATAAAAGAAATTTTGGTTCACCTTCAACAGAAATGACTTCATCAAATTCTTCCACAACAACAATGCATTCATCGTCTGATTCTTCCGCATCAACGATGCATTCATCGTCTGATTCTTCACTTGAGTAAGAGACTATGGCACCATAATTAGGAACAACATACAATCCTTCCGAACAACTCATCTACCAGACGAAAACAAATACAAAAAACAAAAAACAAAATGAATCTCGTGAAATAATTTAAACGTTATTGCTGGTGAGATTGAAATTCATACGACACAGCCGATCTGATTAAATCAAAGACATCCAGCAAATGAAGAGTTACTTTAGAATCACCGACACGAATTGAAGATGAAGGAAAAATCGCCGTAAAAAATTAGTAGAAATCCGCCACTGCAAATCAACAATTGAGACGGAGGATCGCCGGTGAAACTATAGTTCATGTAAAAATATGGAATGCTCATTTGGTGAAACTACAATGCTCATTGCAGTAACTATAACGCTCATCTCACAGAACTACAATGCTCATTGCAGTAAACATAATTCATCAAAAGTAGTTCTGCACGAACTACAGTTCATCTAAAACTCAAAATGTTCATCTCACGAAACTACAATGGTCATGGAAGACAAAAAAAATAAAAAACATTCTAAATATTGAAATTCATCCAGTTATAAAAGAAATTGTGGTTCACCGTCGACAGAAACGACTTCATCAAATTCTTCCGCAACAACAATGCGTTCATCGTCTGATTCTTCCGCATCAATGATGCGTTCATCGTCTGATTCTTCACTTGAGCAAGGGACTATGGCACCATAATTAGGAACAACACACATTCCTTTCGAACAACTCATCTACCAGACGAAAACAAACACAAAAAACGAAATGAATCTCGTGAAACAATTTAAACGCTATTGCTGGTGAGATTGAAATTCATACGATACAGTCGATAAGATTCAGATTAAATCAAAGACATCCAGCAAATGAAGAATTACCTTAGAATCATCGACACGAATTGAAGACGAAGGACAGATCACCGTAAAAAATTAGTAGAAATCCGGAGCTGCAAATCAACAATTGAGACGGAGGATCGCCGGTGATCATTCAATTGCAAAATTAGGTCGTAGAAAAGGAGAAGAAGAAAAGGGGGGAAAAAGTGTGGATGCGCGTAAGAAGTCTTCTATTTTTTAAAATCTCGAGACGTAATTTTTTGACTCTGGCCTACACGCGCCAGTCTCGGTGCTCCCTAACTTGGGAGCATCGGGTGCCCCATATAATTTGCGCCTGGCCCTTTGAATTTAATTGCTAATTAGAAAAATTCGTTCATAGTTTTTTATCCATTTACTTATTTTATTAGGATCCTATCATTTTTATTCCGTATTATTACTAAAGATTACCAAATTACAAATCACATAAGGAATGCCAAATTATCGATTTCCCAACTACATGAAAATTAGGCAACTTCCATTGGCTCTACACATATGATTCGATAAAGAATACCGACTTACTAAATTGTGTATGCTTTGGGTTGAGAGTTGAAAATACAGTAAAAAATCTTAATTAATATAAATTAATCTAATTCATAAAAATGTTTTTGTCGATAAATAATAATTATTTTAATGATAAATTAATAATTTATTAGTTTAATGATTTTTCTTTTTTCAGTTCTATGTAGTAAGAAATAAATGCCTAATTGTCTCATATTTTTAGATGACTATAGAACTTTTTGGATGAAATGATAAAAACCAAATATTAAATCTTCTCGGATGTAATTTTAAGAAAAATCTATGTTAGAAAGCAAAAATATTCAACTAAAAATTGTAGAATCATATCATGTTGAATGCTCTTTCCAAACAAAACCAAACCTATCCATTTGTTTGCCAAGTTATTCAAAAGCAAAAAGGAGGAAGAAGAAAAATAAAGCAGATTGATACTTATACCAGGGCCCAGGGGGAGTAGGCAAATTGGGTTTCCTTGTGGACCCTGAATTAGCCCAAAACTTGAACAGCATGGAATGTAATGTCCAAATTATAGTGGGCTTAATCCGGCTTGCGGGCCTTCTTAATTTTGGATTTTAGGATCCATTCATCAGTCGAAAGTCAAAACCATGACGGTCTGCGAAAACGTAACTAGATTACATGTCATTCGGTTCCGGCTGACGTTTACAGCACCGGCAATGGAAATTCTTCTCTTGGGAATTCTATACCAGCTGAGCGGAGAGCTGATTCCTTCTGAATTTCACGGAGAAATCTGAATTGTTTCCGCTCGAGGTACTTTGCTTGTTATTCTCTCAGCTCTGTACAATTTATCCTTACTTTTTTGAAGCCAAAATAGTGAACGGAGTAGTATTGGACTCTCATCTTTATCTAATATTGAAAATGTTTCTCTGTCGGTTGTGGACGGGGAGAGTTAGAGATAGGTTTGTGTACTAGTGTTGTTTAATTTTGGGAAAGAAGGGGAAGGAAAATTAGGGTGAATAATTTCGAAAATTTTTAATGGTTGGGTAGGGATTGCAGTGAATACCGTTTTGCTAACTGTTCTGAAAAGTTTGTGTGATTTTGAAAGAGGAGGTTGAGTTTGTTTGTGAGTTTGTTGTGTGGTTCTGAGGGGTGTTTGTATTTTAGGTTTTCTTTGAGCAATGTAGTTGATTAGGGACTGCAGAAGTCTAGATTTGCTCTTATTATAAAAGGTTTTCCAACTTGAATACAGAGGGTGCACTGTTGGGATTTTGGGCCTTTTCGAATTCTTGGGCCTTTGATTGTAAGAAAGAAGGAAAGAATGTATAAAAGTAGAAAAGCTTTTGGAATAATTATTATATGCATGATTTTATTCTTTTTTTTTGGTTATCTTTCTAAAATGTTTTTTCTTTGATCTGCGTGTTGAAGCTGTTGCTGTTGTCGAGGATTAGATAATTTATGTTGTGGGGTTGTTTGATTTGGGCTGAGAAGGAGAAAAAGAGAAGGATTCAATGAAGAGCCGATCACATAGGATTCCTTCGTCATCTGTGGAACACAAGGATGACTGGGTTGAGGAGTCTTGGACGGTGGATTGTGTGTGTGGTGTCAATTTTGATGATGGAGAAGAGATGGTTAATTGCGACGAGTGTGGGGTGTGGGTCCACACTCGCTGCTCACGCTACCTAAAGACCGACAAGTCATTCGTTTGTGATAAATGCAAGAATAATGGCCACCGTAGTAACCACCGCCGCCTTCGGCATAATAATAATGATAGCAGTGAGGAAACTGAGGTTGCACAACTGCTTGTGGAATTGCCCACTAAGACCTTGAGAAGAATGGATAATAATTCCCTTCCCCCGCCCCCGCCTCCGCTGCCTTCATCCGTTAAAACTTCAGCTTTGACTACTTCTAGCCGGCCTAGCAAGCTTGACATTCCCATCGAAGAGAGGGCTCATGTGCAAGGGGTTCCTGGTGGTGGTGATCCGACTTTGTTTTCTGGTGTGTCCTCTATTTTTGGGGCCCAGTTGTGGAAGTCTACTGGCTATATTCCCAAGAAGTTCAATTTTAGGTATCGAGAGTTCCCATCTTGGGATGAGGAGGACAAAGAAGGGGTGCCGGCGAAAGAAAACTCTGCCGAGAAGAGTGAAAAACAGATGGATTCTGCTGATAACGGTGCTAACGCTTTGTTCTCCTTGACAAAATTAGATGTGCCACAGCAGGAGGTGCTTGCAGTGGACCCCGTTGGTAAGGGAAGCGATGGAGTTGTGTGTGCTAAGGAAACTGGTAAATTGGAGGGTAAGAAGTCTGGTGTTTTGACACCACGGAGTGAGGTGAGTAAGGATAGAAACTTGGTGAAGCCTCCTTTGCTTCATTTTGAGAAGCGCAAAAAAGAAGATCTGGGCAACGTTAAGGATAAAAGTGGAAAGAAGAGGGCCAGGTTATTAGAGAAAGACAGAGATTCTAATAAGAAAATTTGGTCACGAACCCCAGGTACTACTACGCTTGTAAGCATTTTGAGCACTTCATTGTTATAGTTATGTATCTTTTCCAGTCAAATTCCTTTTATTTTAGGGAAAAAAAAAGAAGGTTGCAGGAGTTTTGGCCTAGTTCATATCCTCATGCCTCTTTGTGGCCATATTGCTCAATCGCTTACCAAAGTGTTATATTTTCTGGATGTAACATTCTGATATTTGAGATTTGTTTGTTAGCTGCATTAATTGTTCTAATCAACAATAAATGGCGTAAATCACTTTCTAAATCTTTGAAGACACAGGCTCTATGGCTGTTGAAGTTGATCCTCAATGCGGCAATGACGGAAATTTGAGTCAATTATCACTTGATCCTGATGTCGTTGACCGTGCGATTGATGCTCAGAAATTTGACGTTAAGGAGAATCGCAGGGATCAAGTTCCCCTGAAATTGGAGGAATCATCGAAGCTATTATGTGACCGTGGCAATACTTCTGAGGCTGTCCCTGAAAAACAAGAGGTGATTATTTATTTATTTATTTATTTTTTGTTTCTCTGTGAGGTTTCTTGTGGGAAACTGGGAATTATTTTGCATTTCCGTTCTTTTATGATATTACATGAAAAAGCCCCCTCGTGTGATTTTCTTGTATGACTTTTCTTTGATACATTAGATCATTGTGGTCACTCCAAATGTTTCCAAAGGGGAGTCATTGAGTACTGGTGGGACTGGGTCAGAGCACATTCCAGAAAATTTGATATCTGCAGGACCTAGAATGGGGGAGGACACAAGGGCTCCTGAAAGACATGCCAAGTTAAAAACAGAACTTGCTAATGGTTGCAGAAATACCAATGTGAAGCCGTCCATGTGTCAGGCCGAACTAAGTTCACCAGGGACTTCACTCCAGTCGCAGGAGAGAGCTGCCAGTCGTTTGTCTGAAAATGTTGCCATCAGTGATACTAATGTTACTGGTATCATGTCCCATGAGAGCAAGAGAGATACTGTCCGAAAGTCAGATGTCGTTGATCTGCATAAACGCAGAATTGAGGGTGATAATTCTGCGGGCCTAGATGCGTTTCGAGAATCGAAGGATTTGTCATCTGGTTTTGGTTCAATTGCTGCTTTGGGTTGTAATAAGGGCAACGTCGCAACCGCAAGTCCTAAAGTGGTTGCTGGTGATGGTACAGTCTCAGGTTCTGTTGGAAGCTCTTTTCCAGCTTCTGTGATTCTGATGTGCAAGTCATCTGCTTCTGAGAATTGTAATATTGATGCGACCAACCAAAATGATAATGGTGATAGTAAGCAGAAGCAAATACGCGAAAGCAATCATAGTGGTGCTTCGACTGAGGGTGAGGACGAATGTAGGCATGAAAAATCTGGGAAATCAACAAAAGAGCCGTCCAAACGTGCAGCTAGTCCTCCTGTGCAGACATCACCATCACAGTTAAAGAAGTTATCACATGCTGCCATTGCTTCAAAAAGAACATCATCTGAAATAAAAGATTCGATGCTTGATTCATCTTCTCACCCCACATCTGAGCTGGCTAATGTGCAGAAAACTGAGTGTCCTATGAACATCCCAAAGATGTCTAGTGCATTGCTGGAGAGTGCTTCAATCATAGAAAAGGCTGTTACTGAGAGGCCTTTGAACTTTCAGAAGGTGGCTAGTGCATTATCTGAGAGTGCTTCAAACATAGAAAAGGCAGTTAAATTATCTCAAAAAGGTGAGAAATTTAACCAGATTGTGTCTCAATCTTCATCAGCTAAGGCTAATAATGCTTCAGCCCATCCTGCTGCATCTTCTAACTCGCCTTCAACACTTAGTGACGAAGAGGTTGGTTTCAGTCCAATTCTTTCTTTCTTTATTCTTTTTGTTTTCATTAACCGTAGGAAATCTTTGTGGTGATTATTCCTGTGTCATATGCAGCTTGCTTTGTTGTTACATCAAGAACTTAACAGTTCTCCAAGAGTTCCTCGTGTGCCACGCATGCGGCACGCTGGAAGCTTGCCTCAGTTAGCATCATCAGCGGCCACAAGTATGCTAATGAAACGCACTTCTAGTACAGGAGGAAAAGATCATGGTTTGGTAAGTATCTAGTTCTTTCTCGAACGATTTTGTGCATCATGTTTCTTGAATGACCCATTATTGATAGAATTTACAACTGTAGACATTTCGAAGAAAGATCAAGGGTTCCGGGGATATGGATGATGAATCTAAGAAGACGGAGAGAGCTGTCTCTTCTTCAATGGATCACAGGCGTCAAGATTCTGCATTTGTGACTGATCGCATTAGCAAGAGAGAAGCTGACAGTGGATCGGGAAATGGCTCGTATAGTACAAAGAAGATTAATGCTCCATCTAGAACAGTTGCAAGTGGCAGTTTATCGACTTCAGCTGAGGGAAATGAGAGTAATTTCTCAGGCTCGCGGCTCTCTCCAAGAGTTCCTTCTGACGATGAGAGAGTACCTGTTGGTCGTCATACTCACCGCACTCTACCTGGTGACTCTTTCTTCTGTCCTTGTCTTCAATCCCTCTCATGTATGAAATGCCAATGAAGATTCTTTAGTTCTCAAAGAAGAATTCTACTTGTTTTGGCAGGTTTGCTTGCTGAGATAATGAGTGAAGGGAAGCGAATGACATATGAAGAACTTTGTAATTCAGTTTTGCCGGTATGTATAAGCTTTGCCTTGCCCGCCTTTGTTGGATTTTTAATCACTTTATCTTCTATAGTGACAAAATTATGCTTTCCAATCTATCTAAAATTGCACATTTACGTAGCACTGGCCTTACCTCCGGAAGCACAATGGGGAGCGATATGCATACTCAAGTCACTCGCAGGCTGTTCTTGATTGCCTAAGGAATCGAAACGAATGGGCTCGCTTAGTTGATCGTGGTCCCAAGGTATGGGTCCTCATGACTTCTAGTAGTTTGTAACATTTTGAATCCTCACTTTTGTCAGATTGTCCACGGGGTCACTTGCTTAGCATTAAACAAAAAGCTTGGCAATACTTTAATTTCTTTTCACCTTCCGCGAGGAAGTAAAATATTCATTTGCCAGCATTAGTCAGTAGTATCAGTCGACATGCCAGATGAGCTGAATGAAGATATAGATACTGAAGCCCCAGGATTTTCACGCTTTGCATTGTGCTTTACTGAAGTAATTAGAAGTTCTGTAATGCTCCAGTCTTCCAACCTCGCTGTTAAGTTTTGATTACTGAACTGGATTGTCATCACGCGCTCCTCACTAAAAATTGCATGCCCTCTAGGCTAAAAAGTTGCAAAGTTAAGTAGTTAGAATTCAGTTCTGTATCTCAGCATATTTTGTGGGAATTGTGAAGTAAAAGAGTTTTGGTGTGAAATCTTTGAAGCAGACAAGTGGAGGTAGGAAAAGGCGCAGGGCTGATGCTGTAGTTGATGAATCAGAGGACAATGATGATGGCAGGGATCATCTTTCGGTGAAAGATGGTGGTTCCAGGAGGGGCAAAACAGTTGAGTCGCACCATGAAGAGTTTCCCAAGGGTAAAAGAAATGCACGAAAGCGGAGGCATCTGTCCCTGCAAGGAAGAGGCATCAAGGATGTTAGGAGACTTCGGGGCAAGAAAGATGGAATCAGTGATGAAGAGGAAGATGGTGATTCGTTTTCTGATGATTCTGCTGAGGAAACAATGTTTAGCGAAGAAGATGAGATACAAGGAGGGCAGGAAATAGCTGCTGGCAATGACATGTCTGCTAACTCAGATGGGCAGGAGAGCGCCTAACGCAGGTGTTGGGAAATGGCTTGTTTGTAACCTGTATGATGTCATGCATGGTGTAAATAAGCTATAGGTTGTAAATAATTAGTGGTTGTCTGGTGTGTTTTTCTTTATTTGTACCGTTCTGATGTAGGTTTTGGTTCGGAATGGTACTGTACTAGGTTTTAATTGTTAAAAACATTGCGTCGGATTCTGTAAAGGCTTGCCGCATTCTGCAAGAGCTTTTGCCGTCGACCAGTAATCTAGAAACTTTAATTCAGTGGTCGCGGTTTTGTAATGATTCTTACTTGAATTTCATTTCCGAGGAATGAATTTCATTGTGCGGCGGTCTATATTGTTTTTGTTTCGTAACGATTGTTGATTGCATGAAAAGTGAATTTAAATTAGAAAATTATTTTAAAACCGAAAGAATATAGTTGGGTCATTTCCGGTGTTCCCATCGGGCTGATGATTGCTGAGACCTTACTCAATTATAAGAAGAGCCCAATTCGGAGGAAAAATAGAAGTATGTAGAGGAGATCTAGAGAATTATCGAAAATTGTACTGCAGGGTATATGTCCTTGTTTCCTCGTGTAACTTTTTCTTTTTGGGGGGGAAAAGTCATATTTCTTATTTTGCATAATTTAGGATATAGATATTTTTAAAATTTTATTTTATAAATTTTAGTAAAATCAAATTTAATAAAACCATAATGTCTATTCATAATCTACACCAAAACAAATGTCCAAAGTCGATTATCAAACCTACTATGAATCAAAACAATAGAATATTCCATCTATAGATTGAAACTTAAATTTAATTTTCAAAAATTAATTACTTCAATTTTATTGAAAACCATTTTGAAAAATCATAATTTAAAGGAGAGACTCCTTCCAAAATTGATAATAATATTTGTCGTCTCTCTCTCTCTCCTCTTACTTTTATTTTTTCATTTCCTTGTCAAAAAAGGCAAGAAAGAAAAGAGGAAGAAACAAATAGGAAAGTTTGTTGGTGTTGAAGGTAGTTTTTGTGTACGAAGAAACCGAAAACGTATTGAAATTGAAATCCTCCGTATTCTCAGGCCTAGGGTTCCTTCCTCATTTTGTTCTATTGCTCTCCCTCCCTAATTTTGAATTTTACCTCTATTTTTCCCCCACCAGCTAAATTCTTTCCTACCATTTCTTTTTATAATTAATATTCACTGGATAATCAATCGACCGATTAATTGCATTGCCAGATTTTATTGATTTGCGGTTCGTCTTTTCCGATTCCAGTTTCATTTAGCTACTATTCGCTGCCACTTTTTGTTATTAATTCTATCTTGATTGCTTTTGCTTGGTTTAGGTTTAATCATGACGATTCCAGATTCGGGATGCATGATGGAGAATGGATCCATTGAATTCCCAAGTAGTTATGTTCCCACACCGGACGAAGAAAGCCGAATTATCAAAGACCTGTTGAAGAAAGCCGAATCTAATCTTCGAGAAGGCAATACATATTACATCCTCTCTTTGAGGTACCTTCTTCGTTTATGTAGTTTTCTACTCTCGCTCCTTTTTCTGTTTTTTTTTTCCCTTCCAAATGGATAAATGAAAACTTGTTTAGTTCGTTTTTTTTTTTTTTGTGATGATCATTTTCGGTTTTGTTCTGAATCTAGGAGGATCCAGTATGGATTTCTCCATATATGTAAGTTTGAACTGTTTGTAGTAATTCATTGGATTTATAGTTGTTTGATGATAAATAAGAGAAAAATGGAGGCGGGCATGCGCTCAGGATAAAATTATAGTTAATTGTTGAAAACTTAGAATCATTTATTCAAAGTGAAGCATGGAAAAACTTAAAAGAATTGCAAAGCAACTATCCCTAAGAGAGCTATTATCTGAGTGGCTCAAGGTCGATTTGATTTTGAGCCAAGTTCAAATAGCTTAGTAACACATAATGAATATTCAAATATATTCATGTCTCTATCATTTTAGATAAATTAGGTATATAATAATTATTCATACTGACGCCTCGGTAAGTACTAAGGGTTTTCTTGTCGGAGTTGTTACCATTGATTTTGAATTAGAGGAAGAAGTTAAACTTCAAATGTAATCTTGATTCTAGTGATATTGATTCTGGGATTTTTTGTAATGTTTATGTGAACATTGGCATGATTTAGTGTTTGTTAATTTAACTTTCTGATAGTTCTTGGGTTTTCTTTGGAAAGTTTGTACTAGCATTATTTTGGCTCTTCTGTATCATTTGCACATTTATTACAGAAAAGGATGTTTGCTTGTAATGAAGTTGATTTTGTTATATCTAGTTAATTAGAAAACTCCTGCCTGTGGCTTTCCTTGGAGCTTCTGTATTTTGTTCAAATATTATGTAGTGACCCTCTCGCATGCAACTGCGTGTATGGAATCTAACTGTTTCTAATTTTTAAAGGTGGTACTCGAGCTGGCAGAAGTACACTGGACAACCTGTTGGTTTTTTCCCTTTTGATGAACGTCCCGCTGAAGATGAGTCTTCCACTGTGGCAGAGAGGCCTGGGCCCATTGATAACTCTGATATTGTGTCAGATCAAAGTGACGTTGATGGCCCTCATCTTCTTAGAACTGTAGAAGAAGGACGAGATTATGTGTTATTGCCCGAAGAAGCTTGGGAAAAGCTTCATACCTGGTAATTGCTCTTTTTCCTCTGTGTGCTTCTAGGCTGTTCTGTACTGTGTGGCTGTCTGTTTAATCATGAGCATTTCTACCTATGTTAAAATGTATTGGTGATGGATATAGTCACTTTATGCAATTGGATTGCCTTTGCCTAAGTGTTATACTATGTCCATCTATATCAAATCAGGAGCCTTTGTCAAAACATCTACTCAATTTGTTTTTTTATTGGATATGATAAATTATAGAATTTCTCTGGATTTTCTTGGTATAAACTTTATTAAACTGGTTGTCCAAGTTTCATTTTGTTGCAAACTTTTCTAGCATCATCACCATAACCCTTTTTCTTAGGTACAAAGGGGGACCTGTTATAGCAAGAAAAATGATAACTGTTGGTGATAACAAGCAGTTCTCTGTGGAGGTCTTTCCCCTCTGTCTCAATTTGATTGATTCTAGGGACAAGAGTGAACATGTTGTGAGGTTGAGCAAAAAGGTATTACCTTGTATCTCTTCGACTTCCCTTTTTCTTTTCCTTTTTTTCCTTTCTTCCCTTTCAGTGTTCCTTTATGTTCCTTTTCCTTCCCTTTTTGAGGTCGTCACAGATTTGTAGATCTGCTGCTTTTTTTGGCATTTCCCCATATGAAAGTACCTCTTAAAAAGACATAGACGTGAAAAATTGTTCTGTTACACGTGTATGGTGTTTGTTGTACTGGTTTTCACTTGTATCATTCAAGTGTTGTATGTGTGGTATGTGTACAATTAATTAGTATGCGCGTGATGCAGGAAAAAAATAAGAATTAGGGTTTAAGAATTATTAGGAAATTGTAATTTAGGGAGGTTTTAATATTTTACAGAATTTTTAAGTGCTTGTTTGGACGTCAGCTTTCATTTCATTTTGCCACTTAGAAGTGGAAAGTGTTTCAAGTTGAAAACTAAATGGGAAATGAAAATGTTGTTTGGATGGTATTTTGAGCAAAAAGTTGTTTGGATGTTGGTTTTGAAAAAAATATTTTGAACTACATTTTGAAAATATCAAGTACGAGTCATCACTAAACAATTAAATACTGTTAATTATAGTCGCTGCAAGAAAGAACTTTTCCAAAAACAATCACTCAACATCGGAATCCTGCCAAATTTGTCACTGAACTATTTGTAGTTCTAAAATGGTCATTACGCTAACAAAAAGTGTTTCAAGTTGGAATTTAAAATGTAAATCAGATCGTTGTTTGGATGATGTTTTCTTTTCCGTTGGATTTTGTGTTTAAGAGGTAAAATGAGACAAAATGCAAAATGGAAGGTTAGCCAAACAAACTCTTAAGTCTTTTTAGATATTTTCCTTTTTTAAATTTAGGGTTTAACCATAAATAGGGGAGCTGTACGTTTACAGAGAAGTAGTTTTTATTGATATTTGATAATTGATTTCAGAACTGCGAGTTCTCTTTCACGGCTGAGTGCCTGTGTTATGGTCTTTATTGGTTTTTGTCTAAAAACCATTGCCTTTGTTCATGGTAATCATGAATCAAAGTGGTGTTCCTTCTTTTCATGCTTCCGCCCGCATCAATTGGTATCAGAGCCATAGGTTTAAGCCAAGCCGTCAGAGCCGTCAACAATTGATTGCATGGTTGCAAGAACTAGAGTATGTGACGCAACAAATTGAGTGGGTGCGTCAAAGGATTGATGATCTCCAAAAAGGATTGAATTGTCAACTGTGTAGTGTTGTTTCTTCAGATTTACCGGAAGGTAATATGGAGGGTTTGTTTTTCTCATGTAAATCAGATTTCGATTCAAGTGAGGATCAGATCGTTAATTGGAGCAGTCCACCAGTTTATGATGTTTACCCAGATGAGTTTCTGGATGAACTGGTTAATGATGGTGTTCATGGTGTTGTTCAGTTTTCTCTTCCAACTGAACCAATAGTAGACAAGGAAGATTTGGAAGAGTTTGATGGGTTTAATATACTTGGGGAGGAGAAGAATTATGTTAATGTGGCAGAATTTCCAGTGATTCAACAAAGTTTGTGCTTTACTCAAGAGGATCTGCTACAAGCACAAGCAGCAATGGTGTATGGTGTTTGTTTTGAATCATGTGATCCAGTTTGCAATTTCAAAGCTAAATTTTCTAGAACATCACAAGAAGCTTATGAGTTTAAGAACTCTCTGAATCAACAAATTGTTTATGCATGGAGAAGACGAAGGAAGAAGGTTTCTCAAAGAAGGCAATCGGAGTTAACAGGAGTTCCTTTTGATCGTGGAAAAGGCGGGCAAAACTCGAGGACGAGTTTTCTTTGAAGCAGGGGAGAGTTGATGCAGGAAAAAATAAGAATAGGGTTTAAGAATTACTAGGAAATTTTAATTTAGGGAGGTTTTAGTATTTTACAGAATTTTTAAGTCTTTTCAGATATTTTCCTTTTTTAAGTATAGGGTTTAACTATAAATAGGATTGCTGTACAGAGGTAGTTTTATTGATATTTGATAATTGATTTCAGAACTGCGAGTTCTCTTTCACGGCCGTTTTTGGGTACAAGTTTCTTCTTTTATCCTTTGTTGAAAAGTTGTCCTTGTTTGATTAATTTCAGGCTTCTTTGCGAGAACTTTATGAAGTAGTATGTCGTCTTAAAGGATTGGAGCCAGAAAAGGTATATATGTCACAAGTGCATGCTCTTCTTCTGTTGGTTTTTCTTTATTGTTATGCATGCAGGATAATGAACTTTTACATGGTTGCTCTTCTTCTCATTATGATAGGCTCGGATTGTGGACTATTTCAATAAACAGAAGCATAAAGTATTAGTTGCCTCAGACGGAACTTTAGAAGATTCTGACCTTCAAATGGACCAAGATGTAAGTTTATTTTATTCGGTTGTCAGATGTAAATTTATTTTGTTTTATTAAAACAGTTTGGGTTATTTAATTGATCTTTGTCTAATTTTTTATTGTGTCGATGGCTGTATTTTCAGATTCTTCTTGAGGTGCAAAATGATGGTTTTTGGCCTTCCGGGTTTGGCACAGACTCTACTGGAAATGGCATGGCATTGGTTCCCGTAGAACCTGCAAGGTCGTCAGTGACAATTGCAGGAGGTCCAACTTTATCTAATGGTGATTCAAGTGGTTTTAGCAGCAACATTTACCAAGGAATTTCCTTAAGTTCATCATATGGAGATATGGAGGATGGATATGAGAATACAAGACATGCAACAAAACAAGAGAGAGGAGGTTTGGCTGGACTACAGAATTTAGGGAATACTTGCTTCATGAATAGTGCCCTTCAGTGTCTAGTTCATACGCCAGCCATTGTTGATTACTTCTTGGAAGATTACACCGATGAGATTAACCGAGTTAATCCTTTAGGAATGCATGTATGTATTTTCTTTCATTTCTCTTCATTGCAATAATTAATATGTGGTGAATCAATTTATTAGAACGTCTTAAATCTGCAGGGTGAGCTCGCGATTGCTTTTGGCGATTTGTTGAGGAAATTATGGTCCTCTGGACGAGCACCTGTTGCCCCTCGTGTGTTTAAGGCAAAACTTGCTCGTTTTGCTCCGCAGTTCAGTGGTTATAACCAACATGATTCACAGGTATGTGGCAATAGATTTATGAGGTGACGCTTGGTTGTCTTTGTTGCTTTTGATGAGTGGTGTGTGGTTTTCTGTCCTTTTGGTTTTATCAACGTACTGCAGGGTTATTTGATCCATATAGCCTAATACGTGTCATGGGATGCGTGCTTGTTTTACTTTTAGAGTAGAACTTATCTGTTACATCATAATTGTTTTCTTTGGACATTCTTAACGCTCTATTGGATTTACTTTTCTATCACTTCAGTTTATAAATTTTTTAAAATTTTTTTTTTAATTTTTTTGTAGTGTTGCATTTGAATATTAATCATAATTATTATATGACGCATGGGAATGCTTGTCAATCTTTTCTTTCTGATACTGTTGTTCCTTGCATGTTATGGAGAGACACCATTGCTAATTTGGAAATAGTTGGAATCATTGTTCCTAGCATGCGTAGGAGGCCTTGAAATGCTATTGTAAAACTAGGAAAAAATGTAGAATCGTGAACTCAGTTTCATAAGGGAAGAGGAAACCCTGCAAAAGAAAGTTGGAAAGTTGGAAATAAGACTTCTCGTTGTGTTCCTAGACTTTTCTTGTTGTTCTCGTGTACGATGTAATCCTTTATTCTCTTAAGGAGATCTTAAGTGAAGAGAAGGGCGATGCCTCAATTGTTTTTTCTTTCAGGAACTTCTTGCCTTTCTTCTTGATGGGTTGCATGAAGATTTGAATCGTGTGAAGCAGAAACCATACTTTGAGACGAAGGATTATGATGGTCGCCCAGATGAGGAAGTTGCTGATGAATTTTGGAGATACCATAAGGCTAGAAATGACTCCATTATTGTTGATGTTTGCCAGGTGACTACTCAACTTTATTGATATTTATATTTAGTGGTGAACTTCCTCTTGGTTAAATTGTCAAGTGTACATGTATGTGTATGGAATGAAGTCTCTTAAACATGGCTTGCCAACTGAATTTTGAGATTAGGGCTAGCGGAGCTATTTGGTTTTTTTTTTTTTTTTTGTTTATTTGTATGGTTAAAAGATTAGGAATTATTCAATCTCATAAAATTGTTTGGTACATCATAACCTAAGTTATTTATCACTATTGCAAGCTGGAAGACTTACCCGTAACGTGATTTGTTACTGAGAAAAAGGTTCTGCTTTATCTGCTGGGATTGAACTTCTAATTTGGTAAATTCACTTTTGTCAGGGTCAATATAAGTCAACGTTGGTGTGCCCATCTTGCAGCAAAATATCGATAACGTTCGATCCTTTCATGTACTTGTCATTGCCTCTTCCGTCAACAGCTATGCGAGTTATGACTGTAACAGTGTTTTATGGTGATGGGAGTGGTCTCCCGATGCCTTTTACTGTAAATGTTCTTAAACACGGTTGCTGCAAAGACCTGATCCAAGCTTTAGGAACTGTGTGCTGCCTAAGAACTGATGAATATCTTCTTCTAGCAGAGGTACGATACAAGTGATATTGTTTGTAATTCTTCAAAGGTGTTTTATTCGATGTTACTCGTCTGAAGCAGTTGTAATATTCTCGCTCAGGTATATGAGCATAGGATTTATCGTTACTTTGAGAACCCTTCAGAGCAGCTGGCTGCAATAAAAGATGGTGAACATATTGTTGCCTACAGGCTTCCCAAAAGGAGTTCGGACTTGACAAGGCTAGAGATAACTCACCGATGCCAAGAGAAGTAAGTTTAAAGTTGGTAGACTCAGTCTTTGTGCAATGGGTGTTTGTGTATTTCTTGCCGGTACGCATGCAGGTTTCTTTTTCCCCTTTTCAAACCCACAAATGTTTTTTCGAGTATGTCAATTATGTTTCAACAGAGATTAATTAGTTAAATTGAAGCTATTGGTAGGAGGTGCTGTGTTTGCTAATGGAATAATCCAACGTGATATTTAATTTAATTTAGTTGCTTGCTTATTTTCTTATTATCTACCAATTTTTTTTGAATTTTTCAGATCTACCTTATTAGACAATACAATGCCTGGCGAGAGAAAGCATTTCTTGACACCGCTTGTTACTTTCTTGGAAGACCCAGTTTCTCCTTTGGATATTGATCAGGCTGTTAACAGAGTGCTAGCTCCTTTGGTTCGAGAAGGATTCTCATCAGCTAATGGGAAGGACCCAACAAAATGCAATAGCACTAAGTTAGGACAAGGAACAATGTCAACCGGGAATTCTGAATCAGAAACAGACCTAGAACTAGAACCTGAACCAGAACTAGAACCTGAACCAGAACCAGAACCTATGTCAGGAGTAGAGTTATCATTTCGACTTTTCTTAACTGATGACAGAGGGTACAGTTCCCGACCAATTGTAAAAGATACTCCGCTGAGATTTGGCCGTTTTGTAAAAGTATATTTGGATTGGACAGAGAGAGAGTACGAGCTATATAATGTCGACTATCTCAAGGACCTTCCTGAGGTTCATAAAACAGGACTCACTGTGAAGAAACCCAAACAGGAAACCATTTCCTTATTTTCGTGCCTTGATGCCTTCCTAAAAGAAGAACCATTGGGGCCTGATGATATGTGGTACGGTCATTATTAGTTGTTATACATACAGAACTATGTTTTTTGTGGTTTTTTCTTAGAGCTTTATTGTGGTGACTAATGATTGTGGTGGGTAGGTATTGTCCTCGTTGCAAGGAACATAGACAAGCCACCAAGAAGTTGGATTTGTGGAGGTTACCTGATGTATTAGTCTTCCATTTGAAACGATTCTCGTATAGCCGATGGCTGAAGAACAAAATCGACACTTTTGTGAACTTTCCAGTTCGCAATCTTGATTTGAGCAATTATGTAAAATGCAAGGACACCAACGAAGGATCTCACGTCTACGAGTTGTATGCCATTAGTAACCATTACGGTGGGCTAGGTGGGGGCCACTATTCTGCCTACTGCAAGGTAATTCCAGCCTCATTCATTTGATCTCCAAACTTGAATGTTCTTCTAACTTTACATGTTATAGATGCTTCCAGTAACCTGGCAAGGTGAATTTCTTACTGCTAAACTTAAGTTTGTCTATTTGTTTGAAAACCATGCATCATTCTGTTTATGTAAGTGATGTATGCGTAGCGAAACTTTTTATGAGCTGCATGCGTAGATTTTGATTTGTCTGGTTTATAAAATGGCTACAACCACAGGGGTTCCTCAGAGATGGCCAGAGGTTTTTTTTCCCCTCCTTTTTCACCACCAGCTTATTACCTCTTTCATATCAATTTTTTAAACTAGACAATAAATTCTTAACTGTGTGTTTACACTTTGGAGCTGTAGAAATAAGTCGGATGTGTATGGATTGCAGGAATGCATGAGTTTGCTATTATTGTTTTTGTCTTGTAAATTGATGTTGTGAAATGTACTACGGGTTTTGCAGTTAATTGATGATGACAGATGGTACCATTTTGACGACTCTCATGTTTCACCGGTCAGCGAAGATGACATCAGGACATCAGCAGCTTATGTCTTGTTTTACCGGAGAGTAAGAAATAATCAAACTAATGGAACGATCGGGGAATCATCACAACATGGTGGCTACAGATCATCTTGATTGCATTTATGTGCTTGTTGTAAACCAAGCATTGCCCCTATGGTATTGGTGGTCTTTCTACATTGCCGTAATTTGATGAAAAATATTGCAGCAGCCAGGTCAAATTCAAAGTTTAGACTTGATAATTGATGAACCTGGTTAAAAAATGGGGGAAATGAAGAAGTATTAGTAGCTGGAGAATGGCAGAGGCGAACATTTGTTATTTTTGTGGGGGGAAGAAGAAACCGTAGTTCTTTTTTTATTTTTTTGGGAGGGAAATTTTGGGTGTAAAATGAGATGGTGTTAGGTAGTAGTACCAGTGCAGGCATTTCTTGTTTCTTTCCCCTTATCTTTGGGTAAAAGAAAAGATGTCTATTCTTTTTGTGCGCTGCTTTCGAAGTCTAACAATCATCATTACTACTACAGTTGAAAAGATTTGAGTTGTGAGAAAAATCACCAAAAGTCGTGGACCTTTTAAATCTTTGGACATTTGGTGAATGAACCGAAATGGAGATGTATGCGTTTCTAACTGTAATTATTTTAGTTCTTTGTTCCGTAATTACTAACTTCTTTGTTCCGGATCTATTATCTACAACTACACATAAAGGAGTAGTGGAGTACATCGATTAAGGTTCTTTTTTAATTTTTTTTTGGGTTCCTGTTGGCTAAAGAGAGTGGGGGAAAAGATAACTTTAAACTACAACAAATAACAAATTGGCGATTGAAGCAAAATGCCCAGTAAAAACTAAAAAAAAAAAATACTCATCTAATCAATACTATCTCCGAGCACTCCGCCAACAAATACACATATATCATTTTAGAATAAGAGAACAGAGGCAATTCTAAGTTTAAGAATGATCTAATGGGAGGTGAATGGCCAAGACGAGTAGCAGAGATATGATGAGGAACAAGCGCAATTGTTGCCTCTGCTGAAGATCACGTTTTCCCTGAACCATAAAAAACAGAAACGAAGGGATTAGTTTCATTTTTTATTTTATTTTTTTAATTTCTTTTTCGGTCTTTCACATTAATAGTTATGATTGAGATTAACAGATTGAGATTAACAGTTAGGAAACCTGCGGCGGCCCATGGGGCGACCAATTTTTCTTCCACCAAATGAAACAAAAAGAACACGAGAAAAAGAAAAGATATTTATTTCATCAATTAATTAACTAATACAGTAATAATTAATTGCACCCAAAAAACAACAACAACAAAAAAAACGGAAAAGGGTGTTGGAAACCTTACCACGGCATTGGAGGTTATAGCCAAGTATCCATTGGAAGAGCTGGCCGGAGGCGACAAGGAAGGCTGCGAGTTGCCGGAGCTATTAGAACTACTGCTACTGCTGCCGCCGGAGGAGAAGCTGGTTCCGTTGAATCCTAGAGCGTAAGCTGGGGAACCATCGGGTTTGAAAAACCCGTAGTTCCTCTCAGAAGTCGGGCCGGGTTTCATGTTCTCATTGAACAGAGCAAAAAAGTAGATGTTCAAATTGGTATCGGGCCTCATGGGTGTCCCCTTTCTAGATGAAATCAGCTTCAATAAATTGCCGTTGTAAATCTTTGCATTTTCCGGCGTCGCACCGGGCTCGTCAGAATCCCCTTTTGACGGCCACCCGGTCTCGGAGATCTGTACACAAACCTTCTTAAACCCCAGATATTCCAAGGCCGCGTGAACGGCGTCGACCTGAGCGAAAAGCATGTTGTCGTAATGGAGTTTGGAGACCGGATCCAGTACGCCGGAGCTGGGCTGAAACAGGACGAAATCCAGAGAGACTTGCTTTGGGGATCCCTTGTAAGCAAAATAAGGGTAAGCATTGATGAGGAAAGGGGAGCCGGTCTTGAGGTGGAAATTAACAATGGCGGTCAAACAGGGGACTAGATCCGGCCGGAATTTGCCGGCAGAGGGCGGGTAAGAAGTCTGGAGGATGCCGAGGTTGTGGGCGGTGGTGACGCAGATTTGGTTGTGGAGGTTGAGGTCGACGAGGGCGGAGTAAACGGATTGCATGACGGGGAAGAGGCTGCCGGAGAGGGCGGTGTCGTTGTAGGTGAGGACCTCGTTGCCGACAGCGATGGCGGTGATTTTGGTGGCGGGGAGGTAAGGTTGGACGTTGGTCTTGATCCAGGCCTGAGCTTGTTTCGGGTCCCGGCAAATCTTGCCCAAATACTCGTTGCCGATGCTGACGATGAACTCGACGCCGGTGTTGGCGAAGGCCTTGAGCACTTTGGGATCCGCGTCGTAGAGCTTGATTCGGGTTGCCCCCATGGATTTCACCAGTGGGACCACATTCTCAGGGGAAGGGAGGTTGTTTGCCACCTGACCGTAGTTAATTCCGATGGACTCCACCGGCTGCAATAGTAACAAGCCGGCAGCTACAGAAAACAAAAACAAGAATATATGAAAATGATTAAGAAAGAAAAAGATGAAAGAGTAGTAAAAACAATTGTGCATTGGAGAGTTTAGTTGTACCTGAGAGAAGCAGAAGCAGTAGGCCTAAAGAAGAAGACATTTTATATTTTCCCTTCCCCTGAAACTCTTTTTTTTCCTCTTCTTCTTCTTCTTCCTCAATGTATGATTTTTGGGTTGTCGGGTTGTCGATTTCCGGTGAGGTGGCGGTGATTACTGAAGAGTTACAGGTGGCTGGGTGAGTGACATGAAGATAGATAGGGGTAGTGTGTGAGTGTGTGTGTGTGTGTTGAGCAGAGTGGGGGAGAGCGCAGTGGATGAAAAATAATGGGTCTCTGGCAACAGTCACAGTGCATAAATGTCCAAAAACTCCCATGTCAGTAAAGGCAAAAGTGGACACTCATCATCTACTCCTTTTTTTTTTTTTTTTGGCCTTAGGTATTTTTAATGTTATTATATAAACTGGAATTTACTGTGATTAAATCTTATTATGATATAACACTCCAGCCAGGGATACAATAATTACAGGGATAAACCACTTTTTCACTTGTTTTTTGTTCTTTTTTTGTTTTCCGTTGGTAAGAAGACTTTTGAGATTACGGTGGCAAAACTTTATTGGGGAATGTTGCGTTGCCCCCTTCCTTTCGGTTTCGGTCCATCTAATTTGGATTTTGGGAACTGAGAATTTGAAATGAAGACAAAAATGTAATTACAGCTAATTAATAGTAGTAGTAAGGTGTACCAAACTCGTGTGCAGAAAACCCACAAAGAAGCCATCAATTTTTTCACTCACTTCGTTCCAGTTTGATGGAACAAAACTAACCCAATTCGAGGCTCCCCTTCTTTATTTTTTACCATCTCACAATATAGGTTATCTTCCTTCCATTTGTTGTAGTTCACTACAACTTGGTCTATGAGATGAAGATATCATTAGTAACATTTTTAACTATGATCGAGAGAATCAATTCGTACAATGTTGTCACAAATTCTTTCTACAACGGGTGCTTGTACTACTAATAATATTTGTTCTTATAAGTACTAGTCCTAGTCTCTTGAAATTTAAAGTTTTTTTTTTCTACAAATGCCAGTTTATAGCCGCTACGTGACCAGAAAGAAATAAAAGATTCCCTCTCTCAGTAACGTCCACATTTCTCTTTTTTCCATGTTTTTTTTAAGGTTTGGTTTTGGCCCTTTTGGGGCAGGTTTTCACATGGGCTGACTCCCATCCCAGGCATTTCATCAGAACTCTATTTCACCATTTTCCATCTCCAGACTCCAGAAGAAGAAGGGCTAAAGAGGAAAAAAAAAAAAAAAAACCAAACCCCATGTGCCTACAAGTCCCCAACTGGGTTTACTTTACCCAGAAAAAATCTGGGACATGAGTCAAATTGTGTCATATGACTTAACATTGATTGATTAAGACATAACTCAGAAGTATTACTATATAACTGGTTCCATAGATTTGCCTAACTCGTGAATATCTTCTATTGCTGATTTATTAATTATCATCACTACTTTTAAACTAATCATTGTTGTTGTAATCAAATATATTATCCGTCAAATGTATTATGGGTTCTTCTTGATCACACATCTCGACTTGACAATTCAACCGCTACTTGACACCATGGGAGAGAACTCATATGTAGACGTCAATTTAAGTACTTTACTTTCTACTTATCTTGGTTGCTGCTGGCTTTGTTCGGCCAACCTTTCATTTTAAATTTTGTCTCATTTTACTTCTTAAACACAAAACCCAATGAAAAAGAAAACATTATCTAAACAACTTTCTGATTTACATTTTACATTCCAACTTGAAACACTTTTTATTAGTGTAATAATTCTGTTGTTGAGAGATTATTTTTGGAAAAGTTCTTTTTTGCAGTGACTATAATTAACTGTATTTAATTGTTTAGTGATGACTTGTACTTGATATTTCAAAATGTAGTTCAAAATACTTTTTTTCAAAATCAATATCCAAACATCATTTTTATTTCCCATTTAGTTTTCAATTTGAAACACTTTTCACTTTTAAGTGCCAAAATGAAATGTAAGTTGATGTCCAAACAAACAAAAATTCATTTTCAAATTAAATTCAATCTCATAATAATAAATTTATTTGTAGTATCTTATTCAACTAAATAACACAACAACAATAATAGATCTTATGAGGCAATCACATGAATTCAAAATTTCAAATCCGACAAAAAGAAAGGGAAAGAATGTCATAAGCTTTTCATTTCCATTTATTGAGCTCTATATTTATCAATTTACATTAGTGTGCCCAAAAGATCAAACCCACATCATAAAAGTCAGCTGAGACATCAGAAGCCCAAAATACAGTTAGTTAACGATGCGCTACTCCACTTAGCTTTTATAGTAGTTTCCACACCTAATAACATCATTTTTTATGATCTTTAACTTCCACTGCAAATCCCTCACACACCATCCACAAAAACCTAGGGGATGTCTCCCTTGCTTTTCCAACACCACATTAGACACATTAAAGGGATCTCTTACCCCACTCATTTCTTCCTATATTCCAAAATTACAACTCCACTTTATGCCTTGCCTTTGCTTACAGAAGCCACACGCTGCGGTTATTTAGCTGATACGAACAATGCATTGGGCCATTGACGATGACGAAGAGGCCGAAAACCACCGGGAGGGGTGTGTTTTCATGGTGTGGCGACGTTTTCCTTAGCCAGAGGGGCAATCTCTTCACCATCAGCAGCACCGGGTTCACTGCCAGCAACCCCTAAGCTCAGCAACATTGTTTCCCATTGCTTTGCAGGTCCCTGCAGGACATTCATAGAACAAAAACATATGGCTCAGATTCTTCCAAATGTAAATTTAATGATGCTCTGTGAATGTCATGGTTGAAAAAATACACTATGCTGACTCAATCGTCATTCGTTGAACATGTGACTGCCAAACACTTACCTTCCAAGACAGATCCTGTGACATGCAATTCTTAATCATTTCCTTCAAGGCTAGAGTACCATATGTGGCAAGAGCTCGTGTAACACCCGCAACAATCTTGAGTACGTCGGCGGGATCAACTGCATCACACTGTTTACAAACACAAGTAATGAGGAAAAATACTCACTATTTCTGGGAGTTGACAAAAACGAACAGTAACACAAGGCAATGAAATATAGAGAGAGTTGCATACTTCCACGCTGAATTCTCCCATGTGGAATCCTGTATAACCTTCTTTGACGGTGTCAACAAGTCCACCGGTCGAAGAACATATTGGTATCTGATTCCATAAGGTTTAAACAGTTAGCAAATCAATGTTGTCAAGAAAATTTGATTGAGTTTGCAACAGCTTCAATCAATCTAACTGGGACATTGTAAAAGAAGTAGCAAGAACCATACTGTTCCGTAGCGCATGGCGTGCAATTGGATGAGACCACAAGGCTCAAATCTACTTGGAACTAGTATGTAATCAGCACCGGCAATGATCTTGTGAGCTAATGGAACGTTGAATTTTGCCACACCTCTTGCTTTGTCAGGATACAACACCTCAAGCTGTTCAATCTGCTTCTCGAAACTCTTCTTGCCAGTTCCCTAGCAAAACAAGTACAGCGAGCACATCAATGATTCAGTCTAAACCATTAATGGAATGATAGTGATACCATTGATTACAACGTAACAAATACTTACAAGGATTACTATTTGAACATCCTTGTGAATGAACTTGGGAATTGCAGCAGCTAGAATATCCGAACCTTTTTGCTCCTCAAGCCTACCAATGAAGCCAATCAGAGGAATACTTCTGTCAACTGGCAACCCAACTGCTGCTTGCAGAGCTTCCTTCAGGAGGGGCTTAGCATACTCAGCCTTAAAATAAAAAAATATAGCAAGAAAATGTTAGCAACCACGAAAATGCCGACAGCGAGTAACATTATTCCATAAAGGCATAATGAAATAATGATGAGAAGAGACTATTCCATAGGAGCAAGCAAATAACGATAACAGGATAAGCACGCAAAACTCACAGTCGTAATGTCAAAATTGATGCCACCTAGGTACTTATCAGTGGCTGGGTTCCACTCTTGGGTGTCCATGCCATTGATTATTCCAGTTACACCGGGGATGCGGAGGAAAGAATGCAGTTCTACACCTTTTTCAACGCCGGAAAGGAGTTCTTTTGCATAGTACGGACTCACAGTTAATACCCTATCTGACTCCAAGATTCCAGCTTTCATCCAGTTAATTTTCCTTCCCTTCACAGGCTTATCATAGCTACACATGAATGACACAAAAAACTTTAGATTAGAGAAGCATGAGGCCATACAGCAGTACTATTCAACTTTCCTTTTAACTTTCCTTATAATTCATAGTAAAGCAAAACCATACCCATCCATGAAATCAAAAGAACTCCTGAATTTATCAGGCAGGTTTAGTAGAGGGAAGTCTGCAAACGCAAATCTGCCCTGATAAGCAATGTTGTGGATGCAGAAAACCACCTGTTGACTCACCACAAAAACCAGAGTAACAATCAGAAACAATTCCAGGTGATTGGAACATAACATCACCGGAAGATCATTCATGCATAGGGTTCTTACTTTGGCATTCATGTATATCCCTCTAGATTGGTACATGGACTTAAGATAGCACGGTAGAAGGGCGCAGTGCCAGTCGTTGGCAATGAAGATGACATCCTCCCCTATACCGAAAAATAGGTTTTATCAGTTATCACAATTCCGCTCACCAAACGTTATGAAATAACCCCGGGAACCACGGAAGATACCATAAGGTCCTGAGAAATACTTGCTGTTGTTTAAGTTCAAAATCCGCGGTGCTTCCAATGCTGCCTGAAAAGTTATAGATTCAAGTGAACACCCTCCCAACATGATCAATGATTGAGGACTTGGAAAGCAAACTATAAATGCAAGATTACTTGGCAGAATAAGCTGAATCTAAGTTGGTTGTCCTCATAATCATCACCAGCCTTGGGACCGTAGATCTTGGATCCAGTTTTACCCCAAACCTGATTTGCGCATTACAAGCATTAGGACTCACGTTTCAAATATCAAGCATGTATAACTGTTGATGATTATCCACTGGAAAGGAAATTCAAGGGAAATGTTACCTTCTCAAGAAAGAAGGGGTGATCCACAAAAACGCGATCAACTCCACGCTTGTAGCAGTGGAAGTAGCGAACTGTCTCAACTCTGTCTCCAACTTTGACCTGAAAAGCTTAGAATCTCTGATCAACAAAACTACCCAAAGGATCTGAAAACAAATAAAAAATAAAAGCATCATCAACAAAAATTCACCTGAGCAAGCACACAAGTGTCCCAAGCATCTTTGTACTGGTCATGGCGTGGTACAATGGTCATGACACGGTGTCCAAGGGCCTGGATAACAACTCAATCAGGCTAATATTATAGGCACAAACCGACACATTTACAATGCGTTTGAGGCATATTTAGCTATTATTCGCTATAAATAAAAACTGTTAAAAAAGAGGGGGGTTGGGGGGGAAGGATAGAGACATTGCTTAGTGCTTACAGCCATAGCTGGAGGCAATCCTCCCATAACGTCACCAAGCCCTCCGGTTTTGCTCCATGGACCTTGTTCTATTGCAACATAGATCAGTTGTGAACCTTTTCCACAAAAAATTGTGGTACCAGAAGGCTTGAGAGTCACTGCCTTGAGAGCGCTCCTACTCCCCTTTGACTTGATTCCAGATAGCACCGCCATGTCCACCTTGTTTACTGCTCTTAACCCGTGATGGGTTACAATTTGATTTCTGAGCCCCACTTGGGCCAAATTTGTTTTGGAATCCATCAAAGCTGCCCCAGAAGAGTGGACATTGGAGCTTGTTGACACAAAGCGTGAAGCCATGACAGATGTCATAACTTGTAATCACCCTGGAAAACAAAACAACACGAGTTCAAGATATTCACGAGTTCGGTTGGAAGGCCTGGAAATGCTTCACACCCTAGATGAATTATTTAGGATTCATTCACAGTATAAGGAATACAGCATGAGAGTAAAATAGTAATAACTGTTGAGAAAGAAGTAAGATCATATCAATCGAAACATAGTTGCAATCTTTCCTAATTACATAATCAAAAGCTGAAAAGTGAATTTCAAAAGAGAATATAGAAAACTAAAGGGCTTGAAAGGGGGATTTCATTCCATTTCAACGGAAGTTGCAATTTTTCGAGCTTCTAACACCCCCAAAAAGTGCATTATAAAGAGGACGATGGAAAACCTTTTGGCTTCAAGGGGTTGATTTCATTTCAAAGAAAGATCCAATCTTGCTGCTTGTTTTTCATTCACTCAAAAATAAACTAAAAACAAGGTGGAACGCCAAAGGGCTTAAAGAGATTTTAATCCGTGATTGAATCAAGAACATCGCTACAGCGGTTAATCCTATGAAATAAAAAAAAAAAAACATGCATATAAAAATTACAAGACCGATGATGCTAAACTAGACCAAATTGAACGTGAAAAATTAAGTAGATATACAAAAAATACATTTACCAGAAAAGATCAAACAGCGCAACAAGTTGGGAAGGAAAAACAGAGGAAAAGGCAAGTCGATTGAGCAGATGCAATATAAAACCAACAAGTAAAAAATGTCCTCTGTAGAGTATGTAGATTATCAAGAATAATAGCAGCGGATAAGGGAGTGAGTGAAAGGAAAAGGGGTAGAAGATAACAAATTGAGGGAAAAATCAGTTGGGATTCGGAACAACAATTGATCACGATCATCATCAAATCAGGAAAGGAGTAAATCCTTACCTAAATAAAGAGAGAAAATCTCTGCAAATTCAGTTACACAAATCCCCCCCACCCACCCTAACCATCACTTTTTAACATGCAAAAGTGCAAACAACAGATTAAGCAAATAAATTCAAATCAAATTTTTTTACATAAAGTTTTTTTTTTTTAAACCTTTGGACGCAAAGCTTCTGCTGATGCTCCTCCTCCTCCTCTGAGAGTAGTAAACCCAAGTCTATGATGATTGATGAGTCCACTAGTTTAAGTACGGGGTCAGTCCAAAGCAAATATGTAGGAGGAGTGGGGACACGTGGCGGGGTGGAAATGGTTTGGAGAAGAAACGTGGGTTCCCTCGGATTATTTTTCGCGGTTAAGGAATCATCAGCTATCGTTATCATAGGGATCAGTAGTCACACCACATGTTTATTAATTAGTTGCCACTACTAATAAAAATTTCCAGTATCTTTCACTCAAAAAATTAAAAAGAAGTCCTGTTGGTATATACTTCTTTACTGGACCAAATCTAATGGCATATGCTGCTCCCTGCAGTCTCTCCTAAAAAAAAATTATAACAAAAAATATGTTATTCCACTGAAACAAATGTAATACTGCTTCTCCCCAGTCCCTCTCAATATAATTTATTCCCTCTGTCCCAAAATTATTGTCCAGTTTGAGATTTTAATTTTAGTACAATTTGAATTAAAAAAAAAATCCAAACTGGACAATAATTATGGAACAGAGGGAGTATTTATGAAATTAGGACCTAATAATAGCAAGTACATTGGATGGAGGGATGAATCTAAAAATAGGTATTCTCTTCTTTTGTTTGAATTTTTGTATTAGAGCTGATTATACTGAAAATAAAAATTCAAATAAAACAATTGATTTGAGGCAGTGAATAGTAAAAATATTTAAAATCCCACAGATTGCTAATAAGAAACTTCAGTCCCCTCTGCCTCTGATCCTCTCCCATTACAGATTTATTTTATTTTTTTTTAGAAACAAAATTATGTGATACTATTTTTTTTAAAAAAAAATTATATATTGAGTTTTGAAATTTAATTTATTTATTTTTTTGGAGGCACGGGGAGTAACTGTTATTGATATTTAGGACTACATTTCTGGTAGGAAAATAAGAAAAGTAGGACTGTACAGAAGTAAAAAGGAAACGATTGATTTGATTTGGGACTTTGGGAGTACATACATTGAACATGAGGAAAATGGCTGGAAATTATGAGAGGCCAGTATGAGATCTGGGCCGTTGATAGATATTTTTTTCCGGCCAGTGCGCGAAACAAGTCCGTTTGTCTATATTACCAACTGGAATACTAACTAATTCACGGCTCCTGCTTTCTCTCCCTCTTCTCCGGTCGGCCCCATTTCTGGTTTCACGAGCTACGACAAAGGCAGAGGTCATCCAGTAAAACGACATGTTACCATGTCCACCCCACAAAACTATTTCCTTGGTTCCAATGAAAACTTGATTCTTCCATAATCTTCCTCCAACCATATCAATTCCCACTTGGGTGGGTGGGTTTCCTCTGTTTTTGGGGATTGAACCACACATGACCCCCTCATTTTCATAACTCTAGGCTTTCTAGCACACTTGCTACAATCATTTCCTCCATTTTCTGTTTCTGTGCACCGTAACGTGTGGTTTATCTAAAATTACATGACCTCAAAAATGATGGCATGTTATATTTATCATATCTAATGGTTAATTTTAGCTCTTTTTTTAAAAAAATTGTAATATGATTCTGCTTTTGACAAAAAAGAAAAAAAAATGATGGAATGTTATACTCCCTCCGTCCCATAATTATTGTCTAGTTTTACTAAAATAAAAGATTTTATTTTTTGTCAAACTTAACTATATTTTACCTTAAACAACCGGATATACCCTTACATAAGTAATTGTTTAACTACTAAGATTCAATGGATAATATTTTTTACTAAGGACAAATGTGTAACTTGATCCATAAAAAGTCAAATTGGACAATAATTTTGGGACAAAATTTTTTGTACAAAGTGGACAATAATTATGGGACGGAGGGAGTATTTATCATAGTGATAATAATACTCCACATTTTCTTTGATTTCGACTATAAGGCCATTCCTTTGATCTCCATTCTCAACTGTTTATAAATTTCTCATCCGTACGTGAATGGTTGTGACTATTGAACCTCATTATAGTAATACTCTCCTTTCTTCAATCCATGATTTAAACCCTTGGATAACAAATTACCCTCAATCGTTGTTTATAACGCTATTGAATCAATGTTGGAATCGTTTGGTCCACGGAAACTTAAAGTAATGGTTGGTTGTTATATTCTTTTCTCTAGTTTTCCTACAAGAAAAACAAACCAGAAACTTTCTTTCCTTCAACAGCTTCACAACTTGAAGGAATCAACAGCTTCAAGCTGACTGCATTCTGACTGTTATACTACTCATCAAAACAACACAGGAATTTGGTCTGATCACGTTTATCTTAGTATCATGGCAAGAACAAACGTCAATTGAATCCATGTCATTTGTTGGTCCCAACAAAAATTACAATGCCCCTTGACAAAGTGACTCACAGCTAAAATACAGAAATCAATTAAACAAAGAAACAGAACGGCTTTTGAGTCTCTCATGACAGAATGAACAAGCCCAACAGATTCCCAATCATCATATATAAATAAAAAGATATACATCGGCTCAGCAGTTAGCTCAATCTGAATGACAATCTCAACACATAAAAATTGTGCAAGAATCGCACTTGTATATAGTTAATCAAACAATGAATTGTATCTCTCTTGGAAAAAATAAAAACAAAAATAGCAGGCCTCTCATAACAATGAATTTTTTTTGTTTTCTCCTCCGAAGGGTGTCAAAATTTTCAATGATGAATAATATAATCATTAATCATCACCGGTGAGCTGTAACCAGAGTCTCAATGAACCTCAATCCGTCAAACTTGGGCGCAAACTTGTCCTTTCCAGAAGCTCCACTTGGCACAGCAGAACAAACCTAAAAAAAAAAAAAAAAAAAGCCAATCAAATTTGTTCAAATTATCACATTAGGAACAGGCAAATCTTTTTGTTTTCACAACCTAAAGACAAATTAAAATGGGGAAAATTTAAGGGTCCAAAAATTCAAATGAGAGGTAATAATTACAAACAAAACCACAAGATGAAATCTTGGGGGCCAAAAAGAGAGAGATCCGGTACCTGGTGGTGGGCGGAAGAGGCGGCGGCGGCGGCGGCGTTGAGGGAAGGAGAGGAACTGCCGGATAAGGCTATGGTGGAAGAAGCTGCAACCAGAAGCGAGGCAGCAGCAACGAAAGCGCCGGAACCCTTCATCGTCATCGCCATCATCTTTCTCTGTCTCTCTCAAGTCAAAAGAACCCTTTTTTATTGGTTGATAGGAAATATAGAAGAGGGATCTTGGGGGGGAAGTTGGACGGACGGAGGAACTTTGGGTCCGGGCGGATCTGGGGACCTGAAGCTCTCTCCGCGCAGCCGCTGCTTCTGGTTTGGATGGATACGCCTTAAAGCCTCTCTTCCTCTGGAATATGCCTAATTTATGTATTTATTTACAGTGGTAATTTCGTAAGCTAGGAGTTTTTCTAATGACGTGTTTAATTTAGTGTATATAATTAGTGAATTCTAATTATGTTAGCCATCTTAATTGACTGGGTTCTTGGGGGCGGCTACGGTTCCCCACACCTTCGCGTGATGCTAATTGCTAAATATTCCAATTACTACGTGTTATGCTTTACCAAAATTCAGTTCAATTGTTTTGTCGGTCTGTGTGACCAAAACTCCAAAACGTTTAATTTGATACGGCTTCATAACCACTCTTAATGCGCATCCTCGGTGATTCTTACACGTTTTTTGCATTTCATTACTGTGCTCATTATATATATATAATCGTATAAGGTAAAAGTAAAATATTCTGGATAAAATATACTTCCGTGTATAAATTTTTACGCTCTTATGTTGCATTGACAAATCAAATTGGCTAATGTCATGTGTTTATTTGAACTTGGACTTTTTATTAGCTGCAACTTGCGAGAGATTATTTTGTACATTGATGTAATCTTTTGAAGCAAATTGCATTTCCAATTGGTTTTCTACACGCATTAGTAGATGGGCAAGGCGTGGCCCGTGACGTAAAGACTCGAAGCCGTCTGATCATTGTGAGTTGTCGTCAGCGAATCCATTAACAACAGAAAGTCAGCAAGTACAGCTCTTAATAAGTGTCAGCAGCCCATTATGAACCCAGTCAACTTTTTGGTATTTACCATTTTCTCACTCTCATGACCTTTTTGCTCTGTTTGAGCAATGGATTCAACCGTTCAGTCATACTCCAAATGTTACTACCAATGTCCAGCAGTTCCTACTTTTCTTCTCCAGAAAAAAAAATTGAATAAATAATATGGAATAAGTTCGAACACAGTAAAAAGAAAATGGTAGCTGAATGAAACCAATCGAATAATTTGAACAGCTTTCTCTTGTTCTTTGCTGTGCATCATTCATTTAGATCTCATCTTTCAGAATACAACTTTTCAAAGAATACAACTGTGGGATTAGCAGCATCTAATTTCACTTTTCTCCGCTCCTAACTCGGCCCTTTTGGCCTTGCCTCTCAAGAAAGGGAGTGGAAAGAATGCCCCTTTTCCCCTCGAAGCTCATGAGCAGAGGAGAAAAGCCATTTGTATCCCCATCCCTTACCGCCTCACAAGAGGAACTAACAAAATGTGAAAATGCCCTTTCTGAAAATCTCAATATTTACTTTGTAATTACCATCATAACCGTTGTTTACCCATGTTTGCGAACCTCCGGGCGACTCCAAAGATGACCGCTTTTGTCAAAAGACCATGGTCGAGGGTGCAAGCTAGGGCAACTGCACCACCAACAACCAAGTACCTTGGTATGTTCCCCCTGAATGATGGCTTTTCCGGTGGACTTAGGGTTCCATCAATCTCTGATGATGCTGCATCATCGCTTGAGCTTTCCAACAACTTCAGGTAATCTGGACTAACTTTTGTGTTGACTTGAGCCATGACGGCTGATGGGGAAAGAGTTGCCCCGGATGATCTATAGTTCTGGTATGCACGTAAGCCAGGGTCGATTTTTTTGACAGCCCCCCACATGCCTTGCCGCACACCAAGCTTTGCAATCTCCCAAGGAATACCCATGTCTTCGTGATGAAAGAGCAAAACCTCGCATGCAGTCAGTCGGCCATCTTTGCTGGATTCAACTGTTTCAAATTTGAGTTGAATTCTCTCGTTAGCATCAAGTTCAATGGCTTTTTTTAAAAAATTTTAAACTATTATAAGTTCATTAACTGTTACAAATTTGACTGTTTCTGCCATATAATTATTGGATTGTACCATACAGTATACACAATTGAGCCGTCAAATCATCTAACGATCTTCCACATCCAGTAAATCAACAAAGGTCTATGACAATGCAACCAAATTATTACCTGGACGAATGCACCAGCTGGAATAGTACAAATCGACACGTCTTGGTTTCTGACGGCGAGGAACAGCAGCGTATGGCACACCCTGAGAAGACAGCATTCTCATCAAAGTGAGATTTTGGAGATAACCTCAAAATCACATACCATTCATTAATTGCATTTCATATTAACAGGTATCTAGCAGAGCATCGAACATAGTCCTAAATCCAACAATGCATCTAATTATGGAGATCATGAAAATGAATCTACGACTTGTACTATGTTACGGCGAAATTTTAGAAATGCAAATACGGCATTGTTTTATTTCTGGAAGGAACAAGAACTATCAGAACACAAATATTTGGCCTTGTCCTCCTACCAAAATTTTAAAAAATTTGTAATCCTTCAACCATTTTTCTTAACCCCTTACTCACCATAGCCTACATAAAAACTTTATACCTCACGGGAAGAAAGAATTGGGAGCCAGGAAGTCACGGAAAAGCCTAACCATCTAACCTCACAAATATTTACTGGAACAAAGTAACGAGTGCCTTCGATTCAACAGGTACATTTCAAAAACTACAACACATAACAAAAAGTGTAGCAAACCCCTACCTTGGTCACACAATAGTATGCGTCGCCTGATTTCCATATCCTCCTTCCTATGATATACTCTCTGTCACTACAGAAGAATGGGAACTGCAACAGCAGAGACCAATGGTAAGCATAATCATGGTCGAACATCACCTTTCCACTAAAGGGGAAAGGAGGAGCAAAAGCATAGAAGAAAATTATCTCCTGACCTTGCGCACCCACTGAACCACCATAGTACCAGTGGCGGAAGATTCTTCAAGAGTTTCCGCATGTAAAAGCATATCATCCCACTTTAACCTAAACTCGTCATCCCAGAAAAAGTCCCTCACAATTTCAGGAGTAGCATTCTCATATACAGTCCTGCTACGATACTGTGGAGGTCCAGTCTAATAAAGACACAGGCAATTCAGAACAAATTAGAGATATACAAAAGCACAATTAACTTCCTACTGGGATAAAATGCTCAGATTAAACAACAATGGTGGAAATGATATGTACCTCAGGATCTCGGCGCCAAGCTTGGTAGCTCATATTATTGGTTGATCGGTTCATCATTTGAATCCAAACAGGGCCACCGTCTGTCTCCTCAGTTAGTCGGCGTATGTGCTTCAGGTCGCGCTCATCCAAAAGACTCGAACTTTCAACATTTGATGAGCTGAAACACAAAGAAGATCAATTCAACAGCTGCGAAGATGATGAACTAGAACTCGGTTCAATCCACAGCTAATTTTCCAGCCACCACACCAAGCAGGCAATTTAATGAACCAACACACAGAATACAACTCATTGGCCTCAGTAACAAAATACAAGGATTAAAAATTTCACACTCTCAGCTACTTTTTGAGCCACCAACCCAATCAAGAAACTCATTTCTTTCAAACGACTTGACCTTTCAATATTCAATCAACCTAACTCCAGAATCCAACTAAATTGACTGAAATAGAAAAAAAATTCCACATTTCCAGGGGCTTTCTGAGCCATTCAGCGACAACGAATGAAGCAAACATAGGCTTCATCATCCAATGTATCAAAGTTGAAAGAACTCCATCAATTAACTGGAAACTCAAAATTCAGCTCAACTGAAATCCCCCCCAAAAAAAACACCAAATTCGATACTTCAAGCTAATTTAGAGCCACAAATGGGCAACCAAAGAAGAAAAACAGGTAGTTCGAATACATTCAAATCAAAAAAGGAGTTGAAACCAACCTGGAAGGAGAACCGGAATCCACCTTGTCACTCGAACTATCAGAAACCCCACCGGCGAAATTGAAAGCGGGCAACTGAAATTTCAGTGAACTGAAGCTTGGAATGGAATCGGAAAACTGCTGGAAGAGGGTGGTTTCGGAATTGGAGTGATTATTACGGTGTTGGTCGTCTTTAGCATCGAAATGAGCAGCAGCCCACCTGGGCTTCCATGACCAACCAACCAACACCCCAATCACAACGGCAATCCACAGAGGGACGGCAAACATCATCAGCTCCATCATCACATCAAACCCGGAAGTGGGCCTCCGGAGTATCTCGAGCAAAGCCGATGCCAAAACCATAATTGACCCCAAGTATTAAAATAAATCAAAATGTAAAAAAGGGTAAAAAAAAAAAAGGAAGAAGAAAAACCCTCGATTCAATCGTGAAAAAGGTAGAGCCTTTAAGCACAGCGATGAGTCGAGGGTTTGGGGATTTGGGAAGGGAAGGTTGAAAGAGAGAAAGGGGAAGATAGATAGGAGTCGTGTAAATGAGTGAAGGTATTATTTGATGAAAGAGGGGAGGATATTCCTGAACAGAGAAGGAAGAAGAGAGAGAGGAATAAGGGAAGAAAAAAAAGACAAAAATGGAGGGGTTGTGGTGTAAATAGGTTTTGGAGAGGATAAGGATGTGAGATATAAGCGGTAAGGAGACGTGTTGTCTGGATTTCCCCCTCACCCCCACACGATTTTTCTTCTTATTTTTTTATATCTGTGTGTTGTTCAGTCAGTCACAGTCTGTAAAAAAAACAGAGAGAAAATTGGTTGTTCAACTTGGGAGTACTAAAATACTAATACTGCTTGTAGAATGAAATTGAGGACTTTTGAATGAATGATGAAGAAGAAGTGGAAAGGTCTTTATGTGAATTGAAGATTGTGGGTTTTGTCAATCAAAATTCACAAATAAGAATAGTGGGGACTGGCCGGTGTGTGTACTGTCTAAAAATGAGTAGAATGGTCTGTGGCTTTCATTTTTCACGTTTTGGAAAGACATTTGTGGGTGAAATGACTTCCTCATACAATTTCAAAGCCACGCTAGTTAGGTTTGGTCGTTTTGGGTGCTGTGGGTTTGGGTCTGTTGACCATTGTTGTAAGCACTACTCCTACTATTTTATAGTTTGATTTTTTGACTAAACTAATTAATAAATAAAAGTACATGGGTTAGGCATTGAGAACCGCGTTAATCATGCTATAAACATATGTATGTATTAGTAGTATTGAAGTTCATAGTGGTGATTTTTTAAAGGCTAATTATGGTCGGTAGTGCTGCTTCTCTTCTGGTGTTGTTCCGTCCTGAGATTTCCTGTGATGAGCCCCAAATTGTATAATGAATGAACTGCTGTCTATAGTCTATAACTCTATATACTACTTAGAAGTCATAAACTAGTCTTATCAGCTCACACCCATAAAATCTTGTTAGATCACTTTGACAAGGATATTTACATGTACTGGTTCAGTTGTTGTTTGTTGTTAATTCTAAGTTCTAACCATTACAATTTTGGAGCACCGGAACTTTTGTATCCTCTTTCTCTCGTGTTATCAACTTGTTATTTTTCAAGTGGTGTTTTTTTTTTTTTTTTCCAAAGGGTTTTTCAAGTGGTGTTGAACACAAAGATATTATAAAAATCTAATCCCCATTTGTAAGTCTTTAAATTTAATTTGATTCCATACGCACTACAAATCTACAATTGTCTCTCCACCGTGGGATTTTTATTATTATTTTTTTTTTATATCCAATTCCATGATTCACATTCACAAGTTCTGGATTAGGTTGTCCTTTGAGACACTACAAAATCAACTGTCCCTTGGTGCATTTATTATGTACACTACAATATTTCTTCAGTTGCAAAGTGATTATCTCACAAGGAAAACCATTTCTTCTACCATTGGAGAATCTGAAGTCCGAACCGGCTTTTAACTGATGCTAATAAGATACTCCCTCCGGTCCCTTTCCTTTATTATAAGACATTTTAATTTTATCCTAAGTTTAATCAAAAATGTCTTTTTAATTTGAAAAAAAAACCTTAAAAATATATTTTCACATTCGTTGTGTCCTCCTGATTATTATGAAATGTTTTTAAAGTTTTTATTCCAATTAAAAAGACATCTTACGTGAAACCTAAGATAAAATCAAAATACCTTATAATAAGGACTGAAGGGAGTATAAGTAGTTTACTGGCTCATGGTATTTTGCTAATTTTCGTACTTTAACACATAGTTCATATTCTCTCATTAACAAAATCAGCTTTTCAATCACCCATACAAGTCAACAGTGGCAAAACAGCTAACCTGACATTTAAACTATCAGTCAGTCCTCACTAATCTTAATATAATCATACTCCCACCTCCCTCCTTATGAACTAAATTTTGTGCATTGCTGACTAAATGAGCTTCGAAAAGGTTTATGTAAACAATATATCCTTGACAGGATCAATGGTTTGAAGCTTCATACTGATGACAAAATTGAGCAGAATCCCATTGAAATTCATCATATTTACACGAATCATCAGTTGAATACTACTATAATTTACATGAAAATCTAGATTGCCATGGTCCAAAATTGGGTGTTTCATTTCAAAAGATAGCATGCCAAATTGCTCCATCGCCTTCTCCACATCGCTGGTGCACTTCCTCCATCCGTTCCACGGATTTGCATACTCCACTGCAGCTCCAGTCGAATGATGCAGCACAAACATTGCCTGCTTCCGCCTTCCACTCGCAATCTTCCATACCAGAAGGTCCAAAACAAAATCAGTTATTGACTCTTCTCGGTTGATTGTATTCCCACATTTGGGACTTCATTTTTAAACATCAACTTGTGTTTTTAGTACTTCCTAAGTGAACTATATGCATACTGGTTAACCAAGTTTAGATACACATTTTGATGAAGTGAATCAGGTCATGATCCCTGCCTAATCAAAGCAGCAGACAAAACATTATGGTGTTTAAGATACTGTTACCATTGTTGTTTGCTATGGACTCCTCCAAATTTCTAAGCTACTTTTCTTCAGTTTCAAGGCTGTAACTAGGATGTTCGATAATTTTACCTAGCTGTACAAGAAGCAAAATTTTCACTTAGCTAGCTTGGTTTTACGATGCTTATGCAAGTAGGCAACTTCAGTCAAGAACAGATGTACTAATTCATACATGTAGCCTAATAGTTACCAGGAGGAGTTCCGCAGCAGAAACTTCTGTCATCAATATGGTCAATGTCTAGGCCAATGAACCATGATCCAAGCGAGACATCTTCATTGGCATATTTGTGAAGTATGTGCCTGGAATAACAAATACTGATGATCATCTCACTGATTGGAAAAATATGATAGTATTTATCATTTTAGATCATCCTTCTGATGAATTGAACCGACTATTATTATTATTTCTGTGACAGATAGATTCTTTACCGGTTAACTGAAATGTAGGTTGCCAAATCCTTGGAGATTGCATATATTTGTCCTGTTGCATGCCTGAAATACTTATTTCCCTCCTCGCCAAATTTCCAATGCTCAGGTTCATGGTACTTGACTCCTCTGCAGAAATGATATTAAGGCCAAACGCGTTGAAGAAGCATGATAGCCTAATACACTAAATTTTTTTCATTGAGAATTTCTTACTTCTGTGCAAGGACAGGTCCGGACTTCATGCAACCGATGTAAACATGAGGTTTGGATTGATGGCGAGCCAGGGACGATGCAACCATTGCTGATAAATAATTTGAATAGTTCCAATTAGTTCAAATACAATCTCAGGATAATAAAAAATGAAAAGCTTGAGCTTGAAGAAACAACACTTGGCATTCATACATGGAAATGAACTCATTCAGTAACACTAACCAAGATTGACATGCACATCATCGTCGACTTTCACATAGAAGTCAGCATCCCACTTTGATGCAGCTGTTGAAAAGTAAATTTGAGTCTTTGCAGACAACTCATGGTATCCTTCTGCGTGGTTCTGCAAAAAAATCATCACAAACATAAAACTTTGAGCAACTATTTTGATCCAGATAATCAGAATTCTATGCCTGCTAGTATTCAAAGTGTCACAGAATATCATGCTAAGTCAAAATGAACATAGTAATATGTGATCTGGAAAACATCCACTTAATCTCGGGCAAAAGTTTCATTTAATATGGCAAAGTGATATCAGAACATTCAATAATCAATGACACAAGAAAACAGAAAGATGTGAGTTTAATTCGAAAGGTTCCAACACACCAGCCTAAAGAAATCATTATGTTTAGCTTCTTCAGCATCAATGGCACGATCCAGAACTCCACCCGGTGTTGAACTGAGTTAAGAAAGAACTTAGCTGATCAATTAGTCCAAAAGAGAATATCCATCACGCATACCATTATTTCAGTTTAGATTGACAATAGAACTTATACAAACCTGTGTCCAATTACAAACCGTATCACTATTCCCTTGTCATTCTCAAGCTTCCTCAGTTCATCCCCTAATCAGAACAAAGTCATCACCATGATGAAATCGACAAGAATCACGAAATCCAGTAACCATCAAGCATAAAAAGATCAAAAGATTGAACCTTGAGGCATCCAAGTTTGTCTGATTGAATCTCGGCGTTTCCTGCTGCTAAAAGCCGTCATGATCCCCATTACAAAGAAAACTTTAGGGCGTTTCACACCAAAATGTTGCGAATTTCTTCCATTTCTAGGTAGTACAACATTATTAACGTTACTATTCACCAGGGACCTCCGTTCACTGCTTGTTACAGCAGCAGAACGCCGAACAGAAGAAAGCCTCATTTCCAGAGAAGTGATGGTTTTGTCTAACGTCCTGAAAATGTTTCCTTTCCTTGATTAATTCTATAACTAAATTAAAAAAAAATAAAATAAAATCCAAACCATTCATTTCAGCCAAAAGGGTACTAATAGAAAGTTTGATTACATGATTACATCATTGGCTTCTGAGACTTTGGAAAGGATTTCTCCAGCATCAAAACTAGTGTCCTGCAATAGCAATTAAAAAAAAAAAAGGCCAAAAACAACAATGTTCACCATTTTAATTATCTGCATCAATTGGAAACCGCAACAAATAAAAAAGATGAAAACTTGAATAACAGTGTTTTTGGGAAGCTTGCCTTGTCCTCACAATTGACCACAGGAGGAGGTATTCCAGAAGGGTGCATTTTCAATTCCACAGGGAAAGCATTATTCCTGGGTGTGAACCAAAACCTATACAGAGGAAGTCTGACAACAAAATACCCATTATTCAAAAATGCATCAAAGGGAATCTGAATTTAAAATGCATCAACTTGAATGTTAGTAAAGAAGCACCTGTTGACAACAAAGACTCCCAGGCAAAAGCTAGTGAAACAGAGGAGAAATAAGCATCTGGGGGAGACCCCATTGGAATTGGGCAATGCCCCTGCCACCACCTTATGGGAGGAGGAAGAGTAGGATCTTCCCCGGGCTCCATGCATCAAGTACCCCACCATTAATTAAAATCAGTATCAATCAGAAAGTCAGAAACTGGAAATCAATGAAGCCCCTGGGTTAAAAAGACAATGGGGATGTTCTTCACTGCTAAAAGAAAACTCTCAATAAATGCCGTACTGGTATAATAAGAAACAAGAGCATTTCATTTCGAAATTCAAAAATGGCGAAGCAAGTTAGAAACAAACAGCATGACGGATCGGGAATGGGGTCTGGTGGGGAAGAAGAATGCAGAAAGTGGGACCCTTTTTGATGAAGATTTTATTACACGGGTTCGAACTATTTCAGTACAATGAGAAAGAACTATGAGGGAATTGTACTTGCAGTAATGGAGGAAAGAGAGTCACGGGGAGGGGAAAGTCAGAGTAAACAACAATTCAAAAGAAAGCAGAATTGATGAAAATGAAAATGAAAATGAATAATCCCATAATGTTCATACACAGAACACAACAGAGCGCAATTGCAACCAGGCAAAACAGCTTTCACTTTCTCCACGCCTTTCCTTTTTTCAGCCTTTCTTCTGCTGATTCTGTTCACCATTAATTTAGTATTATAATTGTCTCGTTTATATTCAACATTTTGAATTTCTGGGCTTTCTGTTATGGTCTCGATGACTTCTACTTTGACAATTATTCACACTGTCACCTGGTAGTAAATTAGTAGTAGTAGTACCGTAGTTTGCACTTTTGTGGGAGTAATTTGCAAGTTAACATTTTTAGCTCCTAATAATTACTCCTAGCTTTGTAGTAATAAGTATGGAAATGGCGTGCACTATTATTTTATGCCATTCTTCAAATCTAAGACTAATTACATCATTTGCATTTGGATGCCCTTAGAGCGTAATCCCTTTTTCCAGTGACTTGTTACAACTCTCTTCGTGTTGAAAGAAATTTTCTCGTGTTCTTTTTATATTATAAAATAATTGTATAATTTTAATTTTTAATTTTTTAAAAAATAACTCTACATAGTGTATCTCAAGGGAGTAACAATTATTTTTCCAGCACAAAGTATACATTATTAAGAAAGGAGGAGTAACGTACAAGTTGAAACAGATTAGTAACATTTGCGTTGGAACGCATGAACAAAAAGCGATCCTAGTTATACACAGCCTGTGTCATTATTAAAGATGTACATATTTACACGAAACTACATAGTTCATATGCTTCATCAAATCCTCTTGTCATACTAAGAAGATGCATTAGTATACACGAATATTAATGTCCATCGTCACATATGAATGGAACATATAATAATTATCATGTTTGGACTTTCACTATTTGTACTTTTACTATCACAAAAAATAATACAAATTCATATTATAGTTTGAAAATTGTATTAAAATAATATAATATAAAATTATTTTTTGTGAACTAAACAAGTACAATTTATATTAAAAATAAAAATATAAATAAAACAATTATTTTTAAGACATAGAAACTACCTTATTACATTTGACAATTGGAGTACCTTATGGCTTATGGGACAAAACAATGGAGGCTGAATGAAGAAAGAGAATACAAATCAGAGGATCGGAGTGGATTGCAACTCAGGCAAAAAGGAAAAGCACAATCCCCCAATAATGAAAGCAAAGAGCCTACTCGTGATTGGGCCCATCCACTTCTCACAATATTATTACGAACTATGGCCCATTTAGTTAAAAAAAAAATATACGTAAAACAAAATCCTGAATTAGTGTTCCTAGTTTAACAGTAGTACAAAACTGCTTCCAAAGCTCTCTAACCTAGAAGCTCCCAAAGCTCTCTCAAACAACGACTGGTTTCTTCTAAGCTCCCCCTGCCTCCCATGGAAGCAGAGGATCCAATGACCATGGATCACGATGCTGGTGATCCCCAAAACACTACAAATGTTATGATTCATTGCCAATCTGAAAATCCTACAGTTGAGAAGTCCTCACCGATACCCAATATCCCAGCCGACACAAATACCCCGTCCTTTAGGGATACCCTGTTACAAGGGCAACAACCTCAGAAACACAGAGGCTTCTACCGCGGGAAGTCAAGACTGCACCGGGAGATGTCAAGTATACCACATAAGACGGCATGCCGGCCATCAATTTTGCAGACCGGATCCAGAAATTGATGGAAAATGCAATGTCATACTCAATTGTTGTGAGTCCTTTGGGTAGAAATTTCAGTTTCTTGGCAATCCAGAAAAGGGTGATGAATTTGTGGCAACCGAAAGGGGATATCCATCTGGTAGACTCGATTGATGGCTACCACATCATACGACTGACACACGAAGAAGACTACCACAACGCTCTGCTCAATGGCCCTTGGTCCATAGTTGACCACTATATTACAGTCCTCCCATGGAAAAGAAACTTCGACACAAAGGCTAATAACATATCGGCTGTGGCGGCTTGGATCAGAATCCCGGGACTGCCTGTCCACTACTTCCACAATGACCTCCTCCGAGACATTGCCAAGCCATTAGGGAAGTACTTGAAGGCAGATCAGAATACACTTATGGCCGAAAGAGGACGATATGCTAGATTAGCCGTCGAACTCGACCTCACGAAACCTCTGATTGGTAAAATTAGGGTGGACGGTAAATCATACACCGTTGAATACGAAGACTTGAGAAGGATTTGCTTCAACTGTGGGAGGTATGGCCATGTCGTGGATGAATGTCCAGAACGACCAATCGACCCGCCGGAAGCAGAACCCGACCCGCCCCAACGGAACTCAAGTGACCCAGCAGAAACGACGTGTAACAACAACGGTAAAAAACCGAGCCTACTCCAAACACAAATGGGGATTTGAGCCAGGACAATAATTCTCGGATCTCGAGGCAGAGCATAACGGTAAACAACCTGGGAGAATGGAATTACACCCAGAAACAAGGACGGAGACCCCTGCCCAACGGACATTCCTCCGGGTGTGGAAAATTGAATCAGCAAGACAAGTTGCAAGGAGCTTACTGTCCCCAAGTGAATCCCTTTGCTCCCCTAGCAGAAGTAAACGACAAAACACCAGAGGTACAACAAGGTAACCCAAGCAACTCTAAAGTTTTTTCAACTAATGTGTCAAATATTTTCTCCTCAAATAACAGCACACAGGGAAAGAAAGGTACCCATTTTGAAATGGTTCACAGTACGCAAAAAACAACACCAAAGGCTGCCAAACGAAAATCAGAACCAGCTGGTCAGGACAAGACATGGGCCAAGAAATTATCTACTTCCGAAACAAATACCAAGCCAAACGCACCGTCCACATCTGCGTCCCCTCAGACCAGACTGGGCCAAATACCCATCTCCACAACACCTACACCAAACCTAGGTTCCCAAACCCACAAGGGCCAGGTACAAACTATGGATACTACTAACCCAACCCCAAACTTCACCTTTCCCCGAATGAAAGACCAAAATGATCGAATCTGCCTTGGAGGATCCCTACAAGAAAATCCGACAACACCAGACCATTCGCAAAGTTCTCAGACAAACAATGGAAAACACACAGCAGTGGTGTTACCACATCCAACCCCTTCCCACAAACAGGTCGCGAATTCCTTCGAAATCCAAAACCAACTGAATAAGACCATGCCCATTCCCTCAGACCGAAAACCCCCAGATCCTGCACACGTCTTTCATCTTAAATCCTCCCTGAAAGTTCAACCTTAAGAAGGGAAAAACCATCGGATTCGGCCGAAGCTCGAGGCGATGGTGACGATCTGATGATAACCAACGAGACCGAGGACCAACGCATAGTGTCTGGAGAAAGTCACTGGTCCACCACCGATAAAGAGACCCTGCCGGACACCGGTAGGTAAGCCCCAACCTTCTCTTTTTTTTAATGGAGTGCAAAATAATGGCTTGGAACTGCAGAGGCATTTCCAATCAAAAAACGATAATTGAAACAAAAAAATATGATTAAGAAGTATAAGTTGAAGTTTTTCGCTATTTTTGAAACCCATGTTAATGGCTCTGGGGCCATTGATAGAATTAGGGAAATAGGAATGGCGAACTCGCATCGTGTAGAAGCAATTGGTCACTCTGGTGGCATTTGGCTCCTGTGGGATGACTCAATTTCGGTTGAAATAATCCACAATAATTGGCAATTTATACATGTAAAATTAGGCTTTCAGGATAACATTTCTTGTTTTGTCACCACAGTGTATGGTAGCCCTCAACGGCTAACCATGCGTACACTGTGGCCAGCCCTTGATGATATTGCAGGAAATATTGATGGCCCATGGATTGTACTTGGGGATTTTAATGCCTTCACACACGCTGAGGACAAGATTGGAGGCAGAAAATCACCAGGGTGCAAGAGATTTCGGGAATGGATTCATAGGAATGAGTTAAATGATTTGGGCTACAAAGGTTCCAGATTTACATGCCAAGGGGGGCTTTGCCACGAGAGAATTGACGTGCTCTGGCCAACGATGAATGGGAGAACGGGTTCCCCATTCTGAGAACGGTATCGGATCACTCGCCGCTACTGGTTAGCTTCAAGACGAAAGAAAGGAACCGGCACATCAGAAGGTTTTTTAAGTATTTATCTGCTTGGGAGGCACATGATCAGTGGAAAAGTTGGCTCCAAGCAAACTGGAACTCCAATACAGATTTCAGTGATTCTCTAAAGTGTTTGACAATGAGGATTGATGATTGGAAGTTCAACTATTTGGGGACCTTAACAAGAAGAAGGACAGGGTATTGGCTCGTCTCCAAGGAATACAGAAAATACTTCCATTCCGACAGACGAACACACTCAGAGATATAGAACTCGCTTTGAGGGAAGAATATGAAGAGATAATTACACAGGAGGAGTTGCTTAGAATACAGAACTCACGAGCGATTTGGTTGGTCCAAGGGGACAGGAACACAAAGCATTTTCACGCGGCTCATAAGGCGTGCAAACAGAAAACCAAAATCAAAGCCATCCAATTAGACAACATTGCATGGTTTTCTGATTCGGCTGCTTTAAGTAAGGAAGCTAACAAGTTTTTCAAAGATGTTTATACAGGGGGGACAATAGGCAAT